CCAGACTTATTTTCATGAACCATTCCCCTTTGCTGCTTATGCTTATATCCTTTCCCTGTAATAAATCCCAGCTGTAAGTACAATGACACTTGGATTCCTGAGTTCTAATAAATCATCCAACCTGGGGGTAAGTCTTAGAGACTCACAAAATGGAGATTTTGATTCTAATCAATTAGTTTTGGTAAAATCCATAAAAAACTAATCAATCTCATACTAACAGCAGGAACACCTACAACTCGGTGCTGGGAATAAAAATGTAATTGAACCTTTGCCAAGTTGCATGGTTGCAGTAGGCCGGCCAGATAACCTGATTCCAATTTGCTAAGAGTAAAAATATCATTTTGCCTGACCCTATAGACAAAAGTGAAGATTCCTAATTCCTATTGCAAAGTGCACTGTTCTGAAATCCAGTCAAAGAACAAAGGTGACAGTCAAGGGAAGAGTAAAAAAATGCTCCTAACTAYGACAGAAGCAAAATCTACTTAGTTAAGAGTTAGTATGGTAGAAAGATATTCCCTTAAAAAAAAAAAAACAAAAAAAAACACAACAGCAGTTGCAACAAAGATGTTRTGAGGACCATTTTACCAAATTAAAAACAGTACAGAATTTCTGGTGTTGGATATAAGACCCCAAATAAAATTTCTGGAGAACCAATATTGTATGCTGTACAAAGGACTTATGATTGATTGTTCAACAGTATGGCAGATCCTACAGCAAGCACTAACATCAACACTATAAGATGAAATCATTCACTAGCATCCCCTTGAAAGACTGCCCACTGTTGCTACCACCAGCATCAATAGGGAAACCTTCCCTTAGTGTCTTTCTGAAGGTAGCTCTAACTCAGGTACTAAGCCAGACAGGTTGGCTGGCCAAGTAATTTACTCTACATGCAGATAAGTTTGTCAAAGAGAGAATGCTTATGAGACTCACTATTTCTATTATTCATCTTGCTAAACTTGCTCAGCAACATATAATATTCATTCAATACCAGTAATCAGTGATCGCACTTCTCTTTTTTTTGGTTTGATTCTTATTTCACATCACTAGTTCAGGTAGATAGAAACGTTTTTATACCATAATTTGCAGGATGGTGAGGAATCATAATTAAACCTGAACCAAATCCAAGCTAATAGAAGAATAGATGCCACCCAAAAAATCTGGACTCAAGAATGGCTAAATCATGCCACTTCACAACACAGATTTTGCATTGTTTCTTGCTGGGAAAATGCAAACATGTTTGAAATTATACAAAAGACAGTTGGATTAGAATTAAACAGAGCATTTTACATTTAAATGTATGAGAAGGAGCAGTGTATAACATATCGGGCAGCCAAGAGGTTACTCTATCTTCAAATGATTTTCCAAAGGAAATGGGATAATACTACAAAAAAAAAATTGGGGCCAATTCAATTTTCATATATTTAATACTCAAAGCAAAACTTGCTTAAAAATAATTATGAACCCACAATTATCAAAAGGGCAAATATACTCAGGGACTAACATGCATACTGAGAACTCACAATCTGTCTCAAGAGACTGTGGAAAAATCACCATTGATATTCTTCACCATGTCCTTTGAAACACAGAATGATGTTCTCAATGATCTGGCTTCCTAGGAAAAAATTTTTCTTTTTTTTTTTGGCACCAGGACTTGAATCCAAGGAGTGCCCTACCACTGAATTACATCCACAGGCCTTTTTTTTTTTTTTTTTTTTTTTTGAGAGAGAGAGAGAAAGAATTTTTAATATTTATTTTTTTTTTAGTTTTCGGCGAACACAACATCTTTGTTTGTATGTGGTGCTGAGGATCGAACCCGGGCCGCAGGCATGACAGGCGAGCGCACTACTGCTTGAGCCACATCCCCAGCCCCTATCCACAGGCCTTTTTGTTTGTTTCAGACAAGATGTCACTGAATTGCTGAGKCTGATCTCAAACTTGCAATCCTCCTGCTTCAGCCTTCCCAGATCCTGGGATTACAGGTGTGTGCCACAACACCGGACTAGGAAATTATTTTCTAACAGATGCTCACCAATGCTATATAAGATAAGGGAAAGATCTCAAATGAGCCTGCTGCCATTGCAAAGGAATACCTATTACCTCCTTCATGCAAAGGGCTGTTTCTACAGTTTTCTACTCCCCTGGCCAGAGATTATTCAAATGGAGAAATGCGACATTAAAAGTTTTATGCTGGAGTAATATGCATTAAAAAAAGTCTCAGACTCATTAACTCTGGTCCTTAACACAGCATCTTTACATGCCCCATTCCATCTCCTTTCTGGATACATCTTTATGATCCAGATTCTGTTTTATACCTTTCAGAAGTAATATTTCTCTCTTCTTTTATGAATAAGACAGGATTATTTGCTTGTGGAAATCAGAGTAATTACAGAGATACGATATAACAAAGTTATAAAATTAGAAAGGAATCTTTAGGAAGAAGTAAATGAGACTGAAAATTTCCCGAGGCATTTCTGCTTCTCCAGAATGTCATGTAGTGGGAAAAGCACTAGCTTTTCAGGTAAATGATTGTGTGGTAACTGTTTCTCTTTAAGTGTGCWAGTTACTATACTAAGTGGCAATAACACTTCAAGGATATCTTGGGAGGTTATGAATTTATGCTAGGTCCTAACAATGCTAGCTGAAAATAGAAAAATCTGGAAAACAAGAAAATAGGGTAAAAGGATGTACTTCCTTGGGAGAGCAGCTGAGAAGCTGGTAATCTCAAAATAGGAGTTTGCAAGACAGACACACTATAAAGAACAAGTTCTATGGACCTGACATGGAACATAATATATTCAAATGATGCATTTCAAACCATTTGTTCACTTCTATATTAGAATCACAAAGAATACAATCATTGCTAAATAGAAACTACGAATAGATGAATGGGCCTTTGTATTTACCAGCCTTGGTTTATTGGGAAACGAATGAATGTATTAAAGAGAACCCTTCTTTTTCTCAACTGGAATACCAATTTACTGATGCTTTAAGGTAATTTTTCCATATAGTACACTTCCTAGTTGTTTCAAGTGCCTGTTTGAGACATCTTATCATGCTGACAGCACTATTATATCTTCCTCTCCGACCGCCCCCCCTTCCTTATAGAGCTAAGGATCAAAACCAAGACTTCGCGCATGCTTTACCACTGAGCTACATTCCCCGTTCTACTGTATCATTTCTTGCAAAAGACTATGTCAAACAAAGAATAAATGTGGTTTTTTTTCTTTATCCCTACTTTTTTTCATTGTCCAAGGAATACTCCATAGAACAATAAATGCTGGATTTAGGCTTCCATCATATTAGGTACACTGAAATTTATGAGTGTATGAATTATTTACATATTTTACTTAAAAAAAAAGAGACAGGGTTTTTTTGGGGGACAGGGTCTCACTRTGTTGCCCAGGCTGGTCTTCAACTCATATGCTTAAACCACACTCCTGTCAACCTCCCAAGTAGCTGGCACCACAAGTATACACCACCACACCTCTTAAACTGGCATACTTTGCAACTGATTTATATCATTGCCTTCTCCTCCATTCAGGTGGTTCTCCCTTCCTCTGTGAATATGATTATCTCTTCATACTACAGTAGGGATCAAATGCCTTTTTCCAAGAACATTTTCATACCCTTCTCTTTTCTTTCAGTTTCCACTGTCATCACCCTGTTAGGTAACTGATAATGATGACAACAACTGGTAATAAAAATGATAATGATGTCTTATTGCAATAGTTCTTTTATTGGTTTCTTTGCTTCTCATTTCTCTCCATTCCATTGTGTTCTATTTGCTGTAATAGAGCAATTCCTTCTGAAACATGAAAATGATCTCATCATTTGCCACTACAATCATCAAGGGACAAGTATAACCATCTAACACATTGTTCATAAGCAAACATGAAAGTAAGAACAGTAATTTATGTTATCAATTGATCTTTGACTTCTAAGAGCAAATACATCTTTTCCATGAAGATAGGGACTTCTGTCCATCTAGCACCTGAAGAATCCACAATACCTGCTTGGCACCCAGTAAGAAATAAATATTTGGAGGGTGAATAAGCTACAGTAGAGCATAGGAAAAAAATAATTCACATTCAGTCTTTGTTTTAATATTTATTGGTAGAAATAGATCTTCAATGCATACTTTGTGTTTATAGAAATTCTACATTCTCTTAAGGTTTCTTCTTGTTTTCTTTGGAGTTTTTTGACCTCCAAGTGAACTTAACATTTTATCTATGCATTTGACTCTTTATAATAGACTTTTTTAAAATCTAAATTTGAAAAAACCATGCATCTTGTATACCTTATACTTAATCCAAAGAATTATTTGCACTTCCAAAAAAGTCACAAAAAGGCTGAACTCAMGTTAAATAATCTATATGACCTAAATTTTCCATGTCCCATTCCTGAATAAAAAATACTTGTTCAGTATTACATATTGCTTGCTATCTAGTAAGTCAGATTGTCAGAGACGCTTCAGTAAATTATCTTTACTTCAGAATTATATCTTAATCTTCTCAGAGATGATCTTGTCAATAGTAAACATTGTGCCATATGTAGTATTAGTCCAAAAGCTTAAATAAGAATCAAACTTGTAGTTTTTAGACTGGACATTTTAATCTTAAAATTATATATCTATCTATATATATACACACACAAGGTATACTGTGTATTAAATTATCATTTCAAGTAACTTAAATATTTATATTTAGCAAACATTCAGCCAAACATTCTTTCAAAGGCTTAGACACCAATGTCTTGACTTAGCACTAAGCCTATGAAACTTGAAAATCCAAGAAAAGTCTGCTGTAGTATTAACAATAAGACTGATTTTCAACTYACTGAATTGTGCAGATACAAAAGTGCTTAGCATGACAAAATTACCAAAATAAAAACATTTTAAAGGTTATTTGGTTCTAGCAATATTAACTATTCTGGACTTTTGGATAATTTAACATTTGCATTTTAAATTTCATATAAATTTCCTCTTTTTAACAAGTTAAAAAAGCACACAAAAAATAGTTCAAACTATAATCTGTTATTTTCCATCCTGGTTAGCTCATCACAAATAACTCAACAAAAGAATGCTTCAATAGTCATCTCTATTAAAATACAATATTTGAATAGATCCCATCATTTCACCCATTATTTGCTATGCTGGATCCTAAAACAGGCTGCCGACAGATTGGACAAGTGCAATTCTCTGAGAGCCATCGGTCAATACAATGAATGTGAAATTCATGCATGCAAGGTAATTGCCTGAGCTTGTTTCCAGTTACATAGTCACTGATACAAACACTACAGATTTTACCTAGTTCACTATCAATACCATTATGCTCATAGTTCCGGGTGGAAAGATTGTCTATCTGCTCTTTGGTTAAACCACGTATTCGATCATCATCATCACCTTCGTTTAGTAAAAAGAAATGAGCAAGGCGAAGAATAGGTAGTGTTCCAGTTTCAACTAAATTGTTTGAATTTCGCAACTGCCTGCCTCCTCTACTGTCACTGTTTTGAGTCTGAGGCTGGGTGGTCTCATTTTCAGCTTGCATTTCAGTGCTGTCTTCTTGGGCTTCCCTGTCTTGAGAGGAACCTTCACTGAGCTGGCTGTTTTCATTAACTGTACCTAAGTTACTCAGTTCTGAATGCATTTCTGGTAAATGCTGACCATTTCTCTGAATCTCTGACTCAGACTCAGCCTCCATTAAAGAACTCAATTCTCCAAACCCAGTCATGATCTGCCTTAAAATAGACCGAAGAGCCACTGAGGATGGCTCAACAAGCTCATTCTCAGAAATCCTCCGAAGAGGAACTGTTATGGTACTAACATAGGTTCGAATACCTGACCGCTCTAAACGAGAAATAGTTCGGCGAAAGCCCCCACTATTGCTTTCAACAGTGACTGTATTTTCTGCTAGCCCTACTCTAGAGCGGGTTCTATTTGCAATGCTATCCCGATCTCTATTTTCTCCAGGACGAATTCTCCTCACTTGAAGATCCAGTGTGATTGTTGGATGTCGTCGTACAGCAGTTGAGGATCTGCTGGATTCTTCTCCTTCTTCTACTGTTATTCTTGACACAAGTCTTGAATTAGAGAATGGGGCACTTACAGTACCTCTGCGTTCTCTATCTTGCTCTACAAAGACCCGAGTTATACCTCTCCTCCTCACAGACCTTCTAATTGTTTGCTGCAAAGGTCTACTTTCCCTTTGGGAATTATGATAAGCAGTGCCACTCTGTCTCTGAATTGGTGAACGGCTTCGACTGCTGAAAGCAGACCGTAATCTTATTGGCTCTAATCTTTGGTTTGTATTTCTCACTGTGACATTAGTTCTAGCTCCATTTTCCCAAATATGTGCTGCTCCAAATCTCTGCCCCTCCCTTTGCCTGAGTTCACTACCACCTGATTGGTTTGTGTGATTACTAAAATTAGCACGMGAAGCACTAGTTCTAGGAATGCCAACTGCCCGCCCAATTCTATTCCTTAACCTTCCCAGTGTTGAAAGTGATCCTTCAACTAAATTCTGCCCCCTTGAACCAAGCCTTGTCCTTGTAATGGTGGAACTATTACCACTGAAATCCATGGAGGTTTGGCTTCTTGTTCGCCTAGCCACAGGAMTAGTTGATCTTTCTTGCCTATTGCTAGTATGATCCCTGCTAATATCTGAAAGTGGAATGCCTGAATAATCTTCTCCATTAATTTCAAATCCTCTATTCTCATGATTTATGTGGATTTCCAGACTAAACCGAAACTCTCCACTGTTTGGGTTTGTTCGACTCACAGCTCTCCAAGTTTGGTTCCCATTTTGTCCACTTCGAGTTGCATTTCCTGTGCGACGAAAGGTGTTCAACCATTCTAGCAGAGAATCTTCATTTGAACTTTCTCGAGGGACTTCTGAGTCTGGAAAGCAAATCAAATCAACTTCAGATCCAACTCCTAAAATCTGTCCTTAGATCTTTTTTAAAAACTTATAAGAAAATTAGTTTGTACTGAAGAACATCTGTGTGTTTTAATGAAAGAAAAATGGCCAAAAAACAAAAACTCTGAACTTCCTAAAAGTATATACTATAAGCATATTATAAAAATAGTAATACTGGGGGTGGGGTTGTGGCTCAGTGGTAGAGCACTTGCCTCACACATGTGAGGCACTGGGTTCTATCCTCAGTACCACATAAAAACAAATAAAATAAAGGTATTGTGTACATCTACAACTAAAAATATTTTTCAAAATAGTATTACTATTTATGTAATTACAAAACTTCAAATACTATTTATTCAAAGTTGGAGAAATTCCCATACCTGCTTTCTGTTTGTGGCAAAATATTCAAATGAGAAATATACCCAATACCAAAAGTGTACATTTAAACTTTTTTACTTCATGTACTAATATTAATAAAATACATTGGCAAACTTTATGTAAAACTCATCCTGTTATCTGTGAAATCTTTCTTTTAAAGCCAACTAAATCAACATTTTTGCAACTAAGTATTTTTGTAGCCTTAGGAATTTTATATCTCAGGAGTGTCAAAAAACATACATTCAAGAAGAAATCTAGCTTTCCAAACATAATATTAGAACCACATTAGTTGTCTTTGTGTGAAACTGGAAGACTGTAGCAAATTACTGAAGTTCTCTATGGATGTATTCTTATCTATAAATTAGAACTAATAATAGTATCAATCTCATGAGGTTMTCATTAGGATAAAATAAGACAATGTATATAAAATTATTAGTATAATACCTGGCATACAAGAAGCACTCAATAAATGTCAGCTGTTATACATAATAAAATGCATTCTCGGGCTGGGGTTGTGGCTCAGTGGTAGAGCGCTCACCTAGCATGCATGAGGCACTGGGTTCGATCCTCAGCACCACATAAATGTAAAATAAAGATATTGTGTCCACTTAAAACTAAAAAATAAATATAAAAAATAAAATAATAAAATAAAATGCATTCTCTATTCATTTAGAATGTAAGYTTCATGAAGATGAAGATTTTTTACTTATTTTAGTTACTGTTAAATCCTCAGCCTCCACAATAGTATGTGGTACCAAACTCCTAATTAATATTATTGAATAAATCAATTTAGAAATCATTGTGTCCCAGATAAGCTTCTTTGACAATAATATAGTCATTGTGCCACACTTACTTTTCCATTTGTTACCAGTAAATTATATAAAGCATAAAACTCAATGAAAAGTATTCTGGCACACATTACCTTTACAGATTTCAACTTTAAAGTTTGTTCTACTAAAAAGTAGCTATTAAATGAGATTTCTTAGGTTTATTTCATTACTTCAGTCTCTTTCATAAACATTTTTTAAATGTTGAAGCTAGAGGTATTAATAAACTGTTGGGACAATAAAATAAGTGGCAATCTTGGGCATATTCTAAAGATGATGAAGTATTTTACATTGAATGAGTATAGTTTTGAATAAAACAATATTAAAATTTCTATCAATGTAGTACTGCTTACATATTAAATACAAAGGAGAAAATGGGTTAATATAAAATTTTCATTTCGGTCTGGAAAAGGATGTAAGTAAAGGCAAGCAAACATTAATCATTCTAAATGTTACCTCCTTCTCTGATTAACTAGAATGTGTTAATGACAACATGTGTGGAAGAGGTCGCTAATTATCTACTAACTCTATCCTACTCCTCTTATTGTAAATACATTGTGAATGGGCATATGACAGTCTGGCACTTAAGTGCCAGAGAAACTTAGCTGTGGTTGTGACTTAGCATGATCATACAAATGACATCTTGGATTAGCAGGATACATCTTTCTGCAATAATGGAAACATTCTGTATTTCTGCTGTCCAATACAGAAACCAGTAGCTGGTTTCTATGGGACTACAGAGTACAAAAATATGACTGAGGAACTTTATTTTAAATTTCATTTGATTTTAATTAATTTAAACTTAAATAGTCACATGTAACYAGTTGTTACTGCACTGGATAGCAGAATTATTGAACAACTCAGCTAGCTGTGTGGGTCACAGAAAGATTTGTGGAGCAAAGTTTATCTTCATTCCTTGGGCTATTAGCATAAAAAAGAAACTACGATCTATTAAGCCATTCATTGCATTTTAAGGTTTTTGAATTTGTGGGGTTTTTTTACTAACTATAACTAAWACAATGATTTTGGCATATGTGAAATTACTAACAATGAATACCTCTGGGGAGGGAAGTAAGAAATCAGGGTGTGCTTTTAATTCTATATGCTTGTATTAGTTTTTTTTTCTTTCTATCAGAACTTTTTTTTTTATAAGAAGTTTTTATATTGTGGCTTAGTGTTTACTCAATAAAACAAAACAAACCAACAAATGAAATGAAAAAAGGTTTCCTAACTCTCAGAATTTCTGTATTATTCTGTACACTAGTTTTTAGAAGCTAAGCTTAGTTACATCACCATAGAAAAGGTAGTGTGTATGTTCTAATATTAAAAAGAACTGTGCTAGTAATTAATTGTATATTATTTCATATATATAAATTGCCTGAAGGCAATCTGTGTAAAACATTTTTTATTAATCTTCTGTCCCATACTGCCTAACCAGTCTTCTCTGCATGTAATACATAAATATTACCTGAATGAGTATCACATTAAAACTGAAAAATATTAAAAATAAACATATTATCCAGGATACAGTATTTTCATTTTGGCAACTACTCCAATCAGGCCTGTTATTTATGCAAAGAACTCCACAGTACCTCTGTTATTTGTCCCATTTCTCAAATCAGGCTGTGATGCTAGTTGTTCCTTCACTCCATCTAACCGTTGTTGTAGTTCTTCTGATGTTATTTCTCCTGAAACAATGAAAATTTGCTTTTTAAAAATTTTAAATTATCAGTTTTTATGAAAACTCATGCAGGTTAAGAYCAATTTTTAGCAACCTCTAAAGACAATGTTCTATAAATTGAAAACAGTTAAAATTTTCAACTGACACAAATATATACCAATTTGGCTGTGTCTCATTTATTACTATTTTATTAAATTTTTTAAACTAAGATTTAATTTGAATAGTTAGTACTCAATTGATATATATAAGAACCTATAAGCTATAATTAAGTACATTTTTTTCCAGAGTTAAAAAGAAATTAAGAAAGGAGAGGTTCTCTAGAAAAAAACTTCAAGTCTGTTTACTTGAATGTTACCCCAATACTTCATTATATGGGCTATCAACAATAAACATACAACATATAAATATATAAATTTCAGTTAGTTCATTTGTAAAAAATGTATGGACTTTTGGGGGGTTATCAATCTAGCTGAATACATAAATTATAACACCCCAAATGAGTTCAAATTGGATTTTAAATATTTTACTTGCATAAATATTACTTAAAATAAATAGGACTACATATGTTTAAATTTTGCATTTGTATAATATGTCCAATATATCCAATAATCTCACCTACTTAAAAATACAGAAGCCACTGATTTTCTACTTTGTTATATTAAAAAGTTCTTAAAACTAACAAAAAAATAAATAAAACAGTACATAATGTTTTGGGAGAAGAAAGTATAGAGGAGGAAAAAAAAACCCTCTTCTTAGTTTGAAATTCCTCTTTCCAATGATGAAAATGGTGTCTCCTCTTTTACCCATTCCTTACCAGGGGTGCCTAAAAGATTATGATCTCTCATTAGTCGATAATCTTCATCATTGAGTTCATTAATAAATTGATAATAGGCTTCTTCTCTATGGAGACGCTCTTGCTGCCATCTTCTCTCATTTTCACGATGATTATGGTCTTGAGATGAGGTTTCTTCACCACCATCACCTGATCTGGATCTAGACTGATTCATCCTGAGAGTCCTGGCTTCCTGTTCAAATAATATATACAAAATTCAAGGTGTTAGTTATAGACTACATATAGCCTTGCATTTTAAACTTATAATTTTTTTATTTTTAAATTTTACCCCCTACTCAAATACTTCATTTGCCAAACCTTGCAGAAAGAACTTACATAAAAAATGAAAAACAATTTTTATAAGATAGTACACAACTGAACCTACCACTAAACTAAAGCCATTGTTTAGTCAGACAGAATTTGAGTTCAGCACATATTTCTCATTTTTCATATCTGAATACAAAAGTAATGAATTTTTTTATCTCTTTAATTCTCTAAAAAGTTGGTCTAAAAGCCCCATTTATGTTCTAAATATCTGAGTAAAATTCGTGTTAACACACAAATTTTAGGTTTGAACTATGCATGTTCTTAATAAGCAAAGGCATTTGGGAGGGGTATAGCTTACATTTATTTCGAACAAAGTGTTCCTTCCAAAGTAAGATTCATAAATGTAATATTACTCTCACCATCGTCACTGACATTTGTTGAGGTAAAAATAATTTAGCCTAATGTATCTACTGAACAGACTTGGAGTTGATCTCCCTTTCAAAACTAACAGAAAGACTTTAAAACCAAACAGGAAATAATATACCATGCATAGCTCTGAGGACTGTGAAGAGTGCAACAGAGCCTCTGTTTCCCCATATCCAGTCTCATCCCTCAGCCTGTAATGGTTAGTCCTTGGGATTTTTGAGTGCCAATTAAACTTCCAGGCTTTGCCTAAAAAAATGCTATTTTGGATTACATTTAATGTCATTCCTAAGAACCTTACTTTTAAACTATAAGGAAATTAAGGGAGAAAACTGTCTCATAAATATTTCATGATTTCTTAAGCATATCAATTTAGTAAATCAGTTATATAAAAGTTATCAGACTCACTTGAAGAAATTTTTAAAAATCCAGATGCCCAGATTTCATCCCAAATCCTTGATTAGAATTTTCCAAGGTAGGGCCTAGGTATATCATTAAGAGCCAATCTGAGTGTTCTGTGCATGAAAATTACAATTACTGCTAGGTCACTAAGGAGTATGTAATGCAGCACCTGACCCAATACAGGCTTAAGCTTAAATGGCTAGGCTGCCAGGGAAACAACTGTTGCAATTCGACCTCTCAAAATGTAGCAGGTATTTATTAATAAGCAAGTTGCTTTAAGTTAGCCTACAAGTCTAAACTGCTGTAAGAGTTAACAACCATCTGATTTCACATGTATCTGTATATTAAATTACAAATTCAAGACTTTTTTATAGATGTAATGGTTATTACATCATCATCTAAATGAAAAATGTTAGCACTATACAGTCAAATACTAATTAACCACTAAAATCTCAGAATTTTCCAGTTCCAGAATTAACAGGATCATAACAGCAAAGAGAGAATGGTAGGTATGGCAATAAGATGAATTTTGTAATAAGCAATTTAAAAAGTTGAAACCTAACATAAAATTAAGCCACACTATTATTATTCAAAACCTAAGAGCTTCTCCTCAAAGATAATATTCTGGTACAATTAACCACAATTAAAGTGAATACCTTATTTTTCTTTCAACATGCTTTTAATATATGCAATGGTATCCATCCTTCAGCTGTTTGTGTCTTTTTTGAGAGCTGCCCATCTGAAGCAATAAAAAGAGAGTTGAATTATTCAGTAAGTTGTCCCTCTGAAGGCCAGGAACACCTGGTAGTTATCTCCCAACTCTGCGCAAAGCTAAAGCAAATTCTCCAGTGGATTTTGTTAYACAATCATCTAGAAAACTGGATCCCCATACAATTAGGTCATAAAAAAATCTCTCTCAAGGCCCTTTTTGCCCCACAATAAAATTTAGGCCTAGATTCCTACACTGTCACTGTTCCTGGGATTAGTCTCCTCCTCTCTCAAAGGCCTTCCTTCCTATCACGTTCCCATTCAGAGACAGCCAGGGTGAAGTGACTGCAGTTTACTTCTAAACCTTCACTTTCTTCCCACCCCCACCCTCAGTCCCGCTACTGGTTCTTTTCCTGGCCGTTGCGATGGAAGCTCGCGCCAGGGGACAGTCTCCACCAGAATAAACAAACTGGGCTCCGGGGCCCAACCAACCTCTTCTCAACCAAGCCTCCAGTAACGCTTCCCTTAGCGACCTAGATTCCCACAGGGAAGCAGGTGACAGACGGTGCATCTGAACCAATCACCAGCTAGAGAAGTTCATTGACGGGCCATTAACCAATCGGGGAATAGGTGGGTGGCCCCAAGAATGGCCTGCTTTCCGCGGCGTCTCCAGGAAGTAGTGGTGTAATCCTGAGTATTCCCCCAAGCCCACCTTTCTACGAACTGGGCGGCCGGTCTCCGGCCCAGAGAAAAATTTGCAGTGGGTGGCTGTCTTCTCGAGAGTCAGAGGCCGTGGCTGGGAGCGGGAGGGACTGCCGYCGCGCCTCCAGAGGCCTTTGTGCTCTCTAATCGTCCACTGAGAGACGCCGGAAGTACGTCCTGCAGCTYGGGGTCGTCCAGCCGAAGGGGAAAATATGAAGAACGGTCGGTTTCAAGTCTTCTCACAGTCTCCCACCACCAGGCTGCTCACTCAGCGGAAGGGAGCAGCTCAGCTGCCGGGCCGCACGCAGCTCGCCCGTGCGTCTAGAAACTGTGTCCGGCGGGAGCCAACGTGCCTACGTACTGCGTTCCGCCTTTAACGCCGTTGTCACGGGACGTCTTTCCGAGTCCGAATACCCGGCTGCTCTGCGCTAGTGGTAGCGGCAGTAGCGCAAATACACAACCTTCTTTTCACATTTGGGAAGTAACAGCCCTTCCTTTGGGCTCTGATGTCACTCATTTGCTGAGCTTGGCAAGAAAGTTGCAACCAACCATCTGTTCCTATTTCATTACTGTCCGRGGGTAATGTACTATAACCATCCTGGACCTTTCCCTGATTGCTCTCTAGGACCTGGAAATTACAAGTCCTAATAAATTCTAAAGTGTTTGTATTTGGACTTTGTTTTGAAACTTCCTACATTCTTCTGTCTCCACTGCCGCCCCGCCTCCAAGATGTGACACTTGCCAAATTTACCATTAGTTAAGACCCTGACTAGGTCTCTGCCCAGGCTAGTATAGGGCCCATTCCTGACACCCCCACTATCCAATTACTTAATCACTTGACTGTGCTCACACTGCTGTTATTCGTCATTCTTTCATTCGGTTCATTATTGCTTTAGCTTTTGGGGAACTACAATGTCCCCATCATTATTCTGGATCCCTGGATAACAAGAAGCAATTCCTAA